GCGACGGTCCGGGCCGCGGTCGCCCAGGTGAGCCGCCGCCGGCCCGCGCGCGCACTCCGATCCTCGCCCCGCGTTGTCGCCGTTTCCTGTAGGCTTCCGGGAGGTGCCGACCTGAGCCGCCGCGGCCTCCTCTTGTCCGGGGCCTCCTCCCGCCTCCAAGCCTCGGCCCTCGAAGCCCTGGGGCCCAGCCGCTGCGCCCCGGGCGAGTGCAGGGTTGGGCACACGGTCTACTAACCCCCTCCTCCTGGCGGACTGAGTCCCTCCGACCCCACCACAGACGATCTGAGCTCTCCAGGAGCCACCAGCCACGTTCTGGGCGGTGCTGGGGCAGTGGTTGGGCGAGCGGGAGCGAGTGCAGGAAGGCCGTGGGCACTGGGCCGTGTCGCGGCCTGTAAGCACCGGAGTCACAGCAGGAGGCTTGCTCGGTTCGTCGGTTGCCCAGACGTTGGGCTGGTCCTTTGGGTTTTGTGGGTGTCTTCTGTACATTCTCTGCCCCAGTGCCCTTTATTCTTAAGGAACTGTTGCTTTAGTGGCTGAGTTCCCTGCCTCCGCAACAGAAAACGGGCATCGCAGGGGAATTTGTTCTGATTTCCTAAAGGTGTTTTAGGCTGTGGGTGATGGCAGTCCTGCCCTCCTCTGGCTGTCTCTGCCACTGGAAACTTAAGAAAGCCTTAGTGAAGGCTTCTTAGGGCCAGCAGTGTGCATTCTGGTGGAAGAGGCCACTTAGCCTTTTCCGCGCCAGCCCTAGTACCTGGTACCCGTGTTGCGTATGAGTAAGTCGAGGTGGGTGGAGACAAGCCACCTTGCACATGCTCTCTGACCGGTAAGTAGCTCTGAAATATGTGGTGTCGCCAGACAGATAGTACATGCCGGAGCCCTGATGTGGAAAGACGGCCTAGCCTTGTATTCCCTGCCTGTCTCCGTCTCTGGTAGTTGAGGGTTATTTTGTCTTTGCATCACAAAACTTTCCTGCTCATGAAGTGGCTGTTAACTTGGGAAGGCAAGTTGTGTTTCAGTGGCCTTTGGAGCGCCAGTGGGAGCCGCGGTACTGTCTGGAGGACCAGGTTTCTGCCTAGCTCATTGCAGGTGTATCCCCAGTGCTCCTTTCCATGACCGTGGGGCAGAAGGCCTTAAGAGCTATTGTAGAGCCGTCTCTCAAATCCCCCTCTCAATCCCTTTGAGGCCACATCTCTTGTAGCCCAGGTTGACCTTGAACTCTTGGTGGTCCCCTTGGTTCAACCTCCTTAATAATGAGTGTACGATCATGAGTCACCATGCGCACACTTAGGATAATCACAGTTGGATGCTGCTAGGACAGAGCTCTCTGGCCCGGCCCCTTTCTCCTGAGCTCAGCTATGACTGTCCCAACAGCTTTGTCCAGCACAGTATCCCAGGTTCCTGTCTCCAGAGCACTGGCCAGGGGTTCAGGAACCTGTTTGGAAGTCCTGCCCAGACCTGCTTGGGATCTTCTGCCATTTGATTGGCTGGGCAGGGATGGCAGCTCCTCTACAGCCTGCCCTCAGTTGGGGAAGCTACAGTGCTTGTGCCCCTAAGCCCGAGGAGGGCAAGTTCCCAGAAGCCCAGGGATGCAATTAGGCCTGTCCATTGAGAAGAACTAGTTGAAAAGTGGGGCGTATTGGAAGTGAAGCCCTAGGCTTCCGAGCTCTGCTCCAGCCAGTGACGTCCTCGGGTGTGTTCCCCATCCGCCCCTGTGCCCTTCTATCCAGACAGTTCAGAGCTGGCCCTTCCCTGCCATGTTTGTTGGGCCAGTATCACCTGGGTATTGTGGCACCTCTTCCCACAGTGAGTCCCTGTGGGCAGCAGCCTGTCTTTCCCTCTCAGATGAGTGCCACCTGGATCTTGTGTTTTCTGAGACTACTCGGGCAGGTCTTGGGGGTTTGGTGTAGAACCTTAACGGCCATGCTTGTTTTGGAGAGGCTCTACACCTGTGGTGGGCAAGGAACGTTTGGGTTTGAGCTTGAGCCTTTATCTTGACTTGGGGGCAGGTCAAGAGAGGCATCTTTAATGTATACATATTGGGCTCAGGGACTGGAGTTTGTGGCACTTAGGGGCTGTCTGTCACAGGCTTGTCCTGGTGGCTGGTGCTTCTTAAAGAATTTCTTTTCTTCGTGTTGGTTTTGGGAGTGTATAGGGTATTAAAAATACCAATACTGGGTGTTTAGGGTTTTGTTTTGGTTGGTTGGTTAGTTTTGAAACAGGGTTTCTCTTTGTGGCCCTGTCCTGGAGCTCACTCTGTAGATCATGCTGGCCTCGAACCCGGAGATCCGTCTGCCTCTGCCTCCCAAGTGCTAGGATTAAAGGTGTGTGCCGCCACCAATTGGCTGTGTTTGTTTTATGGTGACCTCACCCAAGTTCCTGAAACCTGGGCTCCTAGGCGGTGTGCCGCCCCTGATGGCAGTCCCAGCCCTTTTGTACTTGTGTGTTTAGTAAAGTCATCAAAAGCAGCCTAGGGCCAGGTGTGGTAGTGCATACCTTTAATGTCAACATTCAGGCAGGCAAATTGGTTAAGGCCAGCCTGGTCTACACCTGTGTTTGCTGTCTCAAAAACGGGGGTAGGAAGCTGTCTAGAAGCCAGATATGGCTCATGCCTATAATCCCAAAACAAGTCACCTAAGGACCTCAGTGAGGGTTCTACCAGATTACTTTGACCCAGTGTGTCTGTTTAGGGGTGTCAGAGAACAACTATGCTCACAGGTAGAGGTACATATCTAGTCAGACCACCTGTAGCATGGGGATCGTGGCCTCTGAGCAGGTAAATGAGCTGTAGAGGCCCTGGCTGGGTCAGGGATGCAGAGTTATTCCTAGGGGAGTTGTGACTTTGCAGGTAAGACAGGCAGCCTGAGCTAAGTGTAAGTAGCAAGAACTTTTGGGGGGTCTGGTTGAGATCTCTAAGAGGCTGTAGCAGGAACCTGTCCTATCAAGAATCTTGTTCTTGTCCTAAGGTGATTGAAGACTCTGCCTCAGAGTGAAGATTCTACAGGACAGCCCAGTGGTCGGGGACCGCTTTGAGCTGAAAATAGGCTGAGCTGGTGCTAGTCCTGCTGGGAGAGTTTGCCCATAAGCCCAGAGGAGCCCCACATGAGAATGATGGAAGCCTGAAGTGTTGGGGTCATATGTGGGGCTTTTGTCCTCTGAGAAGCAGCTCAGTGTGAACCATTTCAGAAAGATACCCTTTGGCCTACTAGAGCCTTGGCTCAAGGGGTTGGCTTCCCTGTGATCCATACACCTCTAGATCCCAGTGCTCAGGAGGTTTGGGAGTCTCTGGGTGCTGTCTCATGTGATACTAAAAAGAAAAGAAAAAGTTGGAGCCACAGTCAAAGTGATGGCAGGCTAAGGGCCCAGGTGGGGACGGTCCTTTACCCGTGCTGGGTGGAACCTAAGGGTCTTGTCCAGGTGTGCTGAGATGGGCCCTGGCAAATGCTGTTAACCCTGGTGAGGCTTGCCCTCCTCCTCTCCGGGGTCACAGGGCAAATCTCTGGATTGAGCTGACAAGCCTGAGGACCATTATAGTATAGCAGGAAGCAGAGAGGTTAGTCTAGCCTCTTGGAGTCGGCTGCCTATGGAAGTTCACCCTGCTCTCTGCCCTGTGGATCAGATTTTTCTCACCAGTGCTTTCAGGCGTAGTGATTGTCCTGCTGTTGAGCCTAATTCTGAGCTGTGGTCCTAGAGTGAGGGCAGTACCTTGTCCTCGACCTCCTTCACTCCCAAGCTAGCACCCTACCTTTTGGGGAGGGGCGGGGGTGTGGTGCTGAGGTGAGCCACTGACCACATCCTAGCCTCAGGTGAGTGCTTCCAGTGTCTTCCAGTGTCTTCCAGTGTCCTGACAGTTTGACTGTAGAGTGGGGGCAGCCTTTGTGCAGGCTCTCCTCACTGCCCCTCCCAGCAGTTGTGCCCCACCTGCCTACCTGGAGGTGTTCTGGGGGGCTCTTATTGAGGGATATAAAGGCAGCTTGCCCATCAGCCCTCTGGCCAGGGTGGGGAGGTGGCGCAGAGAGGTGTGTGTGTGTGTGTGTTTCACCTAACCCTTCCTCTGTGCTCTCTGTTCCAGGGACTTTGAATATGTCGGGGATCGCCCTCAGCCGACTTGCCCAGGAAAGGAAAGCTTGGAGGAAGGACCACCCTTTTGTAAGGAGCATTCTGTTTCTGTGCCACAAGGAGGGGCCTTCTGTTGGATTGTGTTCCCTGCTGCTCAGCCTGTAGCCACTGGGTGAGATCCAGGCTTGTTCTCTGAGCTGGTTTGTTTTGTGACTGTTCTTTCTCAGGGCTTTGTGGCTGTCCCAACAAAGAACCCTGATGGCACGATGAACCTGATGAATTGGGAGTGCGCTATCCCTGGAAAGAAGGGGGTAAGGGCTGCTGCCACTGGCTTTGTACCTAACTTTTCACAAGAGACTTGAGGGAGCAGAACTACTAGAAGAGACTTGGGTTCACTTATCTATGACATCTGACCGCAGCTAGCCCACCAGGTCACAGCCCTCGCCAAGCCAAGGAGTGGGTTGTGGAAGTAGGGAGGCTTGGACCCTGGCAAGTCATTGCATTAGTGAACAGCCCTGGTGAAGGTTGCTGGTTACAAAGTGGTGAGCCCCAATGGCAAGGTGCCCCTGGAGAGCACAGGCTGTGTGTCTTGCTGCACATTGGCCTCAGTGTTACCAATTGTCTGTCCTTGCCCAGAACATGTAAAGTATATGAGAGGGAGAGTCCTGTTACTTCAGGCATTGTCTAAACTAGGGCCTCCAGGTTCAGCTTAGTGCCTGAGCAGAAATGCAGGCTGGGGTCCATGGGTTCGTCTGTACAAGGCTCTATTGCAGAGTGTGGGGTGAGGCTTCCATCACATGAGATGGGGTAGGAAGACTGTCCCTCCCGGGGTGGGATCCAAGGCGCTGACTTGACTAAGTAAGACAGGTCTCAGCTGCTGGGCCTGGCTTTGTTTGCTGAGCTCTTTGGCGTTCTCAGCTGCCCAAGAACTGGGTCCTGAGCCCTCCAGCATCTGGTAGGCTCCCCTACATGTGTTTAAGGCAGCTTCTGCCTCCATCCTACCTGAAGAAGGCCCTTGTCTAGCTCCCTGTAGGCACAGTGGGAGTCTTCAGTCCCAGAGGTACAGATGGTGTGGAGGCAGTCAGAGAACAGGCCCAAAGGACCTAGGTTTGGGGGAACTTCTGGGCTTAGCCGGGCAAGTGAGCCACACACTAACCTTAGTTCCTTTCCCACAGACGCCATGGGAAGGAGGCTTGTTCAAACTGCGGATGCTTTTCAAAGATGACTATCCGTCCTCACCACCAAAATGTAAGTTCTGCAGAGAGCTTGCAGTCCCCTTCCCAGAGCCTGCCTTTGGGAGCCATGTCTGTGGATGCTCTGCCCAGCAAGCAGGTGTCAGTGCTGGGACAAAGGCAGTTTTGGTGAGTTGCTTTGAGTCACAAGTCCCAGGATAGAAGTGCATGTGTCAGAGGGAAAGTTGTGAGTTCCAG